CTATTTTAGCTTTTCATTTATCTTTACTCTCAAATGAATTTTAGAACTATTTCATCAAGTTTCCTGTAAATCCCGGATTCTGACTAGAATTACATTTACAGATTTATTTGAAAGAAATATTATCTTTATAATTTTGAGTTTTTCCCTCTATGAACACAGTACCTCTTTCCAAGTCTTTTATGCTTTTTCATTCTAGAGAATATACCATGAAATTTTCATAAATGAAATGAGAAATGCTTCCAGAGTATCTATTAAGGTCTAGGAAAAAATAATATTGACCACAATTGATAATTGTTGGAGGGGTGTTAAGGGCACATGGGGTTCTATTTATAGGTTTGAAATTTTTTGTGAAAAAAGTTTTGGAGAGAATAACTATTTCTGAAATTATAGCCACTACAACTTTTATTGTAATCTTAAAATTTTGTTATTTTGTGGAATAAAGGTAAAAGCAGAAGGGAAAACCAAAATGATATATTAATCATACACACACACACACACACACACACACACACAGATTTAGGCATATAATTATATGTATCTTATTATAAGATATATATAGGTCTAGACATAGGATTACTAAATCTTATACTGCTTTTGAATATTGTAATTTTTCTCATAACAAGGTTTTCCCTCATCCTTTTGATAATAACTCTCACTATTCAGATATAATTTTAATAATGCTCTCCAAATTAAGATAGGGAACTGCTAAATCATAATAAAGTCTGTGCTTTTCCTACATGTATGTCAAAGTCTTCATCTAATTTTTGCAAATCTGACTGGATTAAATGGCACATAATTTCTTTTGTTAATTAAAAAGCCCTGAAGCAAATATGACAGAATATCAATATCTGTATACTCTTGCTAGTGAGCATTTTTGTCTTAAAATCAGAAGTATCCATTTTCTGAATTAATCTACCCCAAACTGAAAATCTTACCCAAAGTCCCGAATTGAATGCCTCTCCAAAGTACCCAATGCCCTAGTCAGATGAAACACAAAAGCAACATACCTCTGCTTCTAATAACCTATGCCACTACATGTGGGTTACATTTTTCAAGATTTTAAAAATGAAGCATATGCTACTTCTGCACAAGAGGATCATCACCTCTAACTCACTGTCCTAATCTGGAGTGAAGCAGACAATTAATTACATCATCCCATAAAAGCTCTATGCCTGTAACTGAAGTCCAATCATGCTTACTTTCCCTGCTATCCATCAGACAGTGCTGTGCTCACTATGTGTTCAATAGGAATAAGCAGCCTTCTAGTCTGACAAGAAAATGGAGGGGGGGATTTTTAACCTCAAATATTTCCCAGAGTTAAACCTTAGTTGTTGTTGTTTTTTTAAAGCTTTACTTTTGTAAAAGTTCAATAATACAGATGTAAGCCAAATAATAAAATATAAGTAACACTGGGAAGGAATAAATAAGAAAAGACATCTTTTGTAAGTAGCTGAGATCCAACATATTGAATGTTGATTGATAAAGGCTGGATTATCAATAATCTCTAGAAACTTACATATCGTAGTAAGACTTCATATCTGTTACAGTGATTTGTAGTTTAAAACACTCTTTTCCCCAGAATATCAGTCGGTGCTCACAACAATGTCTTCATGCAAGTCAGGGCAACCTCTAGGCACCAAAGTCCAAGACAGGTGCTGAGGAGCCCCGTACACACAGCTGGTTCACATGGAGCCCGGTGCTTAGTCCCCATTTGCCCCAAGTTTTCCACAGACTAAGCTCCAAATACCCGCCTAGAGTTCAAATTTTAAAAGATTATACTACCAACTATTTGTAAGATAGGATCTAGTTTGTAATTCTGCCACAAATGTTTACACTTGTCTATGTAGTATTTTAATATTTGTATTTTATATATAACATGTATGTTCAGGGTTCAACTCTCCCAGAAATCCTAAAAGATAGGCCAAAGAAGCAAAAAAATGAATTTATGCAGTAAACTGCTACTGGAAGAACGGTTTATTTCAAAGCAGTCGAAAGAACCAATTACATTATTGTGCTTTTTCCTAAGCACCAGTACAGGCATCTAGAGTCTGCAAAAACATTCTTTTGCACAGGCTGGCAATCTAGATGCAGTATTCTTTCTCTTGCTTTAAAAGAAAAATGTTTTTTATAAGAACTTATTAACAAAGGCACTCGCTCTGCAGATGAAATGTCATCTTTGCTCAGGGACCCCCATAACTTGTTTCATTATGTTTGTTCCAGTGAGGAGGGATGGAGCAGGCGGTGGGACTTATTCTGTAACTCTGACTATAACTTATAAGAAGAGAAAAGAAAGGTATTATGGAAATTTAAAACCCTCCAACCCCTCATGAATGTGGAATAAATGATGCCAGCTGTACTGCTTCCTGGATGAACCCTAATGGGAAGAACAGGACACCAGCCACCCCAGGTGGGTCTGAGGCTCTCAGCAGGCACCAAGATGTCCTACCAGACAGGAAAGCATTGTTCCCATACAACTTACCTAAAATATAACCCAAGCCCATCAAATACACAGAAACTTACTACTAGAGACTCAATGGTCAGGAACTGTTAAACTTCCTAACCTGTTTGTACCTTCAGCTAGGAGTTTCTCTTAGAATTAATTACTACCCTCCAAAGATGCTCTGATTTGATGTAAAAGGACTGCCTTTAAACAGCATGGGTGTTCTAGGATGTATGTAGTTTAGGGTTTTTTTTTTGGTACCGGGGATCGAACTCCGGTCCTTGTGCTTGCAGGGCAGGTGGTGGAACAACTGAGCTAAATCCCCAGCTAGTTTAGTTCTTGATAACTTTCCACTAACTGTATTTTTTAATGGAGAAATTAAAATACATGACATATTCTAAGTGCAGTCTTAGGCTGAACAGATTGGAATAATTACTTAATGACCCTCATACGTCATATTCTTCAAGGTTAGACTGAGAAACCTAGCGACAGTACTAAGCCTTCTATCTACATCATAGTAGGGATCACTTCAGTTCAATTCCCTATAAATGAGAGCTGGTTTACTTTTTAAAAGTTGGCCATGGTTCTTAAGAATAACACAGTAATTAACAGTGATTAACTGCAGGGAAAAAATTTATTCATAAATAGTTTTGACAATTTGCCTATAGGGGAAGATAAGTAAGGCAACAAGGTAAGCAAAGGTAAAGTAAGTAAAAACTGCTCTCCAAAAACTTTATATTTCCAGATAATCTTTTCCTACCTTTCTGAGAGCACCCATTCCCACTTGAAGCAGCCAATGCTATTCAGCTTTCTTGCCAGCTCCTCACATTAAGAGTGAAAGGAATCTGACTCTAGTTATTTATACTATTCCCACACACATATACACACACTTATTATTTCTAATGTGTCTTAAAACTTCTATTTTCACTGGAAACATCCTTGTTTAAAATTTTAAAAATACAAACAAAGTCAGAACTAGGGCCAAGCTTTCCTTCCCTGTCCCCAGTGTCCGGATCTCTGCGGCGGTGCCCGAGGGGCAGTCCATGGCTGACACAGCCTGTCCCCGAGTGCTGCTAGGGACACACATGGCCCAAATTCCTTCCCAGCTCTTGTTCTGGGTCACCTCTGCACTCTTGTGCTCTCCCTTTCCTACCTGAACACAGGTCCTTCATGTCCCCTAACACTGGCCAGACAATGATCTGTGTTGTAAACTCCTGGGAAGGAAAGGAAAGTGCATCTCCTCCCACTTCCCCGTCTCCTGGGGAATGGATATGTGTGAGTGCCTATGAATAATCAGGCACAATGTGTACTTTACTGACTATTTTGGATTATGATTCTAAATCATAATTTAATCTCCACTAAAAACCCAATGAACTTTTCTTTGTTATTGTTTGGTAATAAAGTTTCTATAAAGAAATATATTTCTGAAAAGCTTAATTTTAATGAATAGAAGTCCTTTTTGAATCAAACTGACCATTTCTCATCTATAATGTGTTTTTGATTTCTAAGTTAGTTCTTTTTTTTAAAGTCAGAAGTTCTTAATCTTTTCTTCTCATGGATATTTTGAGAGTGAATGCAATGAACTTCTCTGTAAAAAGTGTAACATACACAAAAATTTGCATATAGATTTGGATAAAAATTCTCTTCAGGTCCATCCATGACCTTCATGGTTAAGAACCTCTGCTTCAAGTTGAATTTAAGAGCCTTATTTTTGTTCCTGTTAAAGTAATTCTGCCAAAAATTGACTAATTCTTCAATTTCTAAGATCATTTATGACTACATTCATTTTTTTCTGATTAGCTATAAGCTATCGGCTAAATACAAAAAATGAGAAATTGGACTAATTCCTCACATTTCTTAGTTAATTGTCATGGTTTGAAGTCTTTTGTTAGGAAACAGAGTAAATGGCTTACAATGTGATAAATCTATACAGGCTTAACCAGTGTCATGTTTTGATATAAATATATTCAGATATTTACATGATATTCTCCCCCAAAAGTTTACCTTAAAAAATCTCCCACCTGCCTTGTAAGCACAAGGTCCCGAGTTCGATCCCCAGTACCACAAAAAAAAAAAAAAAATCTCAAGGACCTAGCATAGAACAGATATTCAATAAATATTTTTGCTGTTGTTTATGCAAGACAGGGATATTAAAATACTAAAAATTTCTAACTTACCAATCTAATCACTCAAAATTCTTAGGTGGATTCATAATTATCAAAGCAAATTCTATTTCTATTAATATACATCTTCTTACCCCAAGTGAGCATATATTTCTCTTTGATGTTTGCCCTTTAGTTACTTTTATTCAATGTGTCAGGCAAACGAATAATCATAGTGCCTCTAGAATGTTTTTAGAGATCTTTATTTCTCAGTGACAACAACTACTGTAAAAGATATTTTCATACTAAAAATTCTGCGCAAGAATGATTTTTATTCCCTGTAAATAGAAACCATGTCAATTATGTTCACTGTCAGACTAAAAATTAAATATTAAAACACACACACTGTCCTGAGGCAGGCTGCTGGGCACGTGTAAGTATTAATGTAGACCTCTCACCTGTAATGTACATGCGTGACTGTTGGTTTCCTGTATCCAAGGATCCAGGTTTGAATATCTAACAGCTCACCTTTGGGATAAGCTATGGTTGCATCTATTATCCACTGGAGGCCTTTTGATTTGCTCTCTGAGAATGAAGAACACAATGGCTTAAGGTTGGATCAATTCTTATTTGCAACAAATAACACAGTACAGATGACCGGAATAGTATAAAGTTTATCAATATACCTGCACTCAGAAGGAAACTGGATGAACTGTGGTGCTAGTGCTCCATAATGTACTTAGGATGAGATCAACAGTTTCTCACTATGTCATAGAACGGATGGAGGATTTCAGATTGAATGACAAAGCACTATTATCTACTGCAAACACAGCACTCAGAATTAAGTGGAACTGTGCACTATCAAGGTCTAATTTATATTTTATCACTCCTATAAAAGTTGGCCTATGAAAAGATCAACAGCTAAATGTCACATCAGAAGAATGAAAAACAAGGGCTGGGGATTTAGCTCAGCGGTTCCGCTGCCTGCCTCACAAGCGCCAGGTCCCGAGTTCGATCCCCAGTACCAAAAAAAAAAGAATGAAAAACAAACTTCTAAACAAAACCGCACCTTTCACTAAATATAACACAAACACAAAGGTCTGCAATATTTGGGAGACATTAATAAATACTGGATCCTGGAAGTAAAATTAAGCATCTTTAGACAAACATTTTTTTCACTTGCTTCTCTTGTTTGAAAATCAAAAAACTCCCAGTTCCTACAAGCTCCACACAAGTGAGGCAATAAACCTTCCTGTCCTTTGGAAGGCAACACAGGTAACCACTGTTGTGGAGCGGGGAGGGTGCATTTATTTAGTTTCACCCTCTGTGCACTGGTTTCGTTCCTAGCACACAGGAAAGCGCTGAGCAAGAACTGAAAAGTGAACCCTCATGGAGACTGATGACAGCCACACTTGAAAGAATAATGCTCTTCTGTTTCCAGTAGCTCAGAGATCCCTAAGAACACGTAATTCATGTTCAAGCCTAAGTCAAATTCCACAATAGAAATCAACGATAAAATACCTTTTCTTGTCATATACTTAAAAATTAGCCTTAATTTCTTTAAGGATTTTAGAATACCATTCTGAAGGGAAGAAAAAGTATGTGTTCCAGCTTGAACCCACTATGTGGTCCAAGCTGGCCTGGAATGCATGGTGATCCTCTTGCCTCAGCCTCCCAACTACTGAAATCACAAGCATGCACCACCACATCCGGCTTTAAAAAAAATCACTTTAAAATAACACAGTAGTGCTAAAGGAACAGAGTTTATGTAAAGAAATACATTTTAACAAGCTACCAGTGATACATATGCTGAAATGTTTAGGGGTAGAGTATACTATTTTGAGATGCATTAAAAAAACAAGGAAGATGGACCAGTGGATAGATCTTCCACAGAAGAGAAATATGATAATATAAGTAAATATAGTATAAAATGTTACAGAATTTAGTTGTTCAGCTCATGGATATCCGCTGTAAAATTCTTTCAACTTTCACATATGCTTGAAAAGTTTTGTAATGAAATGACGGGGAAAACCACCACAGTTCACTTTAGTACCATTATATATCATAAAACAAACATACAAAAGACACAAATCCTGGTTTTTTTGGTACCAGGAATTGAACTCAGGACCTTGCACTTAACAGACAGGGGGGTGCCACTAAGCTATATCCCCGGCCCCAAACCCTTGCAAGGTTAATTAAACAAAACTTAATTTTTTGGGCTGGGGATGTAGCTCAGTGGCACAGCACCTGCCTGGCATCTCGGGGTCCTGAGTTCGATCCCAGGTACCCCAAAACCTTAATTTGTATATGTGAATGCATCACAAAACAAACACAAAGGAATGGCTTGTGTTTATAGGGGATAAATGCTAGTGAGTATGAATACTCAGGGAAATGAAATGCAAAATACCAAAGCATAGAGAAGAAGATAGTAAAGTACAGGATAAACTAGTTTTCAGGTATGCTGATGATCTCCCGACACAGCTAAAACAATAAGACAGGACGAACACAGGCTACTTCCGCCACTGCTTCTCTCCACGCGGAAGCCCGCATCCTTCCAGCAGCCATGCACGGCGCCCTCGCTGTGGCCTGCGCACCGCACGCACCGGGTCGTCCTGCATCCTTCTGGGGTGACTGCCCCCGTCTGCCAGGCTCTCTTTCGGCTTCGCTCGGCTGGCGTTGCACTGGTGTCTTTCTAACACTGGAGCTATTCTGAACTTTCCTTTTCTATTCAAAGACTCATCTTTTTAATAAATGATGAAAGATTATGAAAGCTGACTGCCGAGGAGCTGCTTGAAAAAAACAATCAAAGGAGTACGTGGTGCAGTCTCACGGGCATCATTTCTCCATCTGCTCTTTATCATCATTTAAAAGCAGATTTTGGAGAGCTATTCATATCCATTTTTCTTAATTTAAAAAATACTAAAATGGCAAAATGTGACTAAGGAAACAGGCCTAGTGAAACTTTCATCTTTTCACAAGGCTATCTCCAGGAAAGTTGCATCTCTGAGCGTGGCTGACTTTTTCCTGGCTCTAAAGGTAATACTTACTCATTATTTAAAGGGTTGGAAACTCAGAAAAGTACCAAGAAATGGGGACAGTCGTCCACGTTACAACTCAGAGACACCGCCACTGCTCACACTGTGGCATCTCTCCACCACTCATTCCTGCTGCTCACTGTGCACAGACTTGCACTCACACTGCTTTCCCGAGTGCTGGAGGGTTCTACCCTACAGACGTTACAGCACAAGCACTCTGCCACACTCAGAGAAGACCTCCGAAATACCACTTGTCATAGCTGTGTCACACACTGTTGTTTGGATATTTTTATAATTACTTGTCCATTCTCCCTTCCGGGTTTTTCCAATTTTTTGCTGTTATAAATAATGCTGCAATAAATTTCTTTGCATATATTTCAGATTATTTCCTTTTGACAAGTATTATTTGTAATGGAATAACTGGGTCATTTATTAACACGTTAAGAGTTTTAGTAAATACAGCCAAACTACATTAAATTTATGATCTGTGTTAAAAGCAAACAAAAACTGGCCGACCATGGTGGCACACACCTATAATCCCAGTACTTGGGAGGCTGAGACAAGACTGTCCCGAGTTTGAGGCCAGCCTGGGCTACATAGTGAGTTCAAGGCTAGTCTGAACTACATAGTGAGACCCTGTCTCAAAAAAAAAGCAAACAAAAACTTTCTAAATTTGATAAATGAAGAATTAAAAATTTTAGTTTCATCTTCTGGCTAAATGTTAGTTCTAATAAAAGGTATAAAAAAAGAACAACAATTACACCTTTCAAGTATGAAATGCTAAAAACATCATACCTAGTTCTTTAGCATCTCCTCCTGCTGGGCTCCCATTTTCCTGTCGTGCTACAAGTGCATTCAAAATAATCTGTGTTGCCCCGACCCTTGGCAAGGTAACATGTGTAAGAAATGGCAAGTTATTTTTCTTGGCAAATGTCTGACTTGTTTCTCTCCTCTTCCTGAGGAAGCCCCCTTCTGGAAACAAAACAATCCATTTTCGATTTCTGCTTCTGTAATTATTTTCCAGGTGCTTCTTCAGAAGCAGCAGCTGTTGGTCACGATGAGATTTTCCCTAGAAAGTAGACACATAGTCAGGACAGGTACACAGGAAATAAAAATACAACAGTAATATCATGAGTAGTAGCTGGGTATGGTGGCACATGCCTGTAATCCTGTACTAGGGAGGCTAAGGCAGGAGGATCGCTGTGAGTTCAAGGCCAGCCTGAACTAAAAAATGAGACCTTGTCTCAAAAAAAAAAAAAGAAAAAATATATATATATACACACACACATACAGTAACAGCCACTTCTAAATTAAAGTCCAATCACAGAACAGTGCATTCCCCTCACTCATTTCCCTTTTTGACCTCTGGTAAAAGAGATGTGATTAGCACTCAGACAAACGAACCTTTCTTTCTGAAGGAGGAGTGCAGCCATTTCAGCTCAATGACTACACACAGGAAGACTACCACTATGGAGCACTGTCCCACACTCTGGGACAGCACAGCGACAGGTCCTCAGAGAACTGCCACCCCAGTTTGGGAAGTGGTAAATATGGAGCACAAACTCAACTGGTGCTATGTGTTAGGGAGAAGAGAGTAAGAGGACAGAGAGGCTCAAGAAGGTCAGGGAAGTGGTAGTCCCAGCACATGCGTGTTATTTCAGCACTCTGGGAGGCTGAGGCAGGAGGACTCTAAGTTCAGGCCCAGTTGGGGCAATGTGACAAAAAGCTGTCTCAAAATAAAAATATGCAAAGAGCCAGGGATGGCGAGGCCCTGGGTGCAGTCCTCTAAGCTGCTCTGACAAGGTGACATCTGTGAGGGAAAAGCCACATGAAGATGAGGCCAGCACATTCCAAGTAACAGGAGCAACAGAGCAAAGGTTCAGAGGTGGGAACAAGCTGGCACGGTCAAAGAACAGTAGGAGGCCAGCGTGGCAGGTGGCAGTGGTTGGAGAGGACAGAGCAGAGGGAGGCGGAGGCCACATCCAAAGGACTTTGTGCACAGGTAAACAGACAAGAAATCACTGGATAGTTTGCAAAAAGAAAGTCTTATGATATTCACATCTGAAAAATCTGCCGGCTCCTATGACAGGAGGACGAGAGAAGTTAGGGGACCACTGAAATGGCCCACAGGGAGCTGGATGAGCTGGGCTTGGGTCCTCAGGGCAAGATGTGAAAGCTGAAGTAAGAGACAGGGCGACAGGCTGCATCCAGGCTGGGAGGGAAGAGAGGAAGCAGGATGACCTGGAGACTGGAAACCAGCACCCAGAAAAGCTGCAGGAAGGCCCTAAACCTACAACTAAAAATACATAAAGGTTCTTCCTCTCAGAAGAATTTCTCAATAATTCCCAACCAACACAATTACAGAAGCTCCTCAAAATAATTAATATGCTTCCATTTTTCAGATTAAATGTATCCCAAATGCAAAACAAGGAAGCTAGTTCACTGAATTCAAATGATTAAGATAGCTTTTAAGTTCTCAAGGCCACACGTGAAATACTTTAAACTATTCTTGGAAGATCTTTTCAAAAATGGTCTAGCAGCAAAGTGCCAGGAGATTTTTTAAAGACATTAATACTTTTTCTATTCCACCCTTGCCTTGCCCCATGTTACAGATTTTTACTACTCATCTCCGAGGGAAAATGCTGTTCTTTAGAAAATAATTTGCAAATCTCCCAGGTACAAAAAAACCAGTATTTACGTATGCAAAATTTACATTGCAATAACAAGAAAAATATATCAGAGCACAGTTTTCCACTGCTCTCCCTACAAAGCACACCGGCCTCACCCTAATGTGTGAGGGTCATCACTAGGATCAACTGTCCCATGCACTGGAAACCAGACCTCACGCTGCAGGCAGGGGCTCAGCTCATTTCTGCTCTGGATCCTTCTCGGCTGCTAAGCTTTCTAATTGTGGGTTCCGCAGTCTTCTTTGAGGTGGTGGGCTCAGGTCTCACTAAGGTGTCTGCTCACTGTTTACTTCGTCTTGACCTCGTGGCCAATCCCTATCACCACTTCTTCCTAGGGGCCCAGCCCATGCTTCTACCCCTCTCTCTGCTCAGGAGATCAGCAATTGTTTCCAGAAGAAACCAGAGAATTGCAGAGCATGTAAACAAAAGCATGTACATAAAACTGTGCATCAAGGTGGATGTGCTTGTGATAACTAACTTCACATAGCTTAGAGCTTTTCTAATCAATTACAGCTTATTTCCGAATTTGTGCTTCTTAGAAGAGGTTTCATTTGATTTGCCAGGTATTCACTAAGTACTTATGTGAAAAGCACTATATAATGCAGGTTAAAACTGCTAATATATAAACACCAAATACGTTGGCATTAAACATAAAACTCTTCTATACCGTATTTTGGGTTTCCACTTAGGAGAAAATGAAGTAGGTGATACTGTTAGTGTACTAGAGAAATACTGTCATGCAAGGCTGACTGGAAGAGGTTATGATTTTTCTTTCCACGCTAAATTATACCTTATGCTTTGGACCCTTCCCAATGCACCTTCATCCATCAAATCCATACCTACTCTAAAATTTAGGTCAAAATACTGTTTTCTCTGCTAACGTCTTTCTCGTTTTGCAGAGATCCAATGTACTCACTTTTCCTGTGAATTCCCACATTTCCTATTATTAATTAATAATTAATCTCCCTACTGGTAACTGAGGTATTTTTGGTATCACTGTGGTTTTTTTTTTTTTGGTACCAGGGATTGAACTCAGGACCTTGTGCTTGCAAGGCAGGCGTGCTGCCACTAAGCTAAATCCCTGGCCCTATTTTCTGTATCATATAACAGGGCCCTATAAATAAAAATAATAGTGATAATATAGTTAGTGATAGTGGTGATCATAATAAAAATGATGATAAGTGTCACAGGTACTGCTCTGAGTGCTTCATGTGTATTACTTTACTTAATCCCTACAACTATCTGAGGGATTACAATTATTTTCATCTGAAAAATGAGGAACTTTGAGCATGTCCGTAATTTGCCCAATTCACATAGCTAAGAAGCTGAAGAGCAAAAGAATGTGGTAGATTCCTGCTAAATGTTTACAAACTGAACTGTACTCTGGATAAGAGGGGAGATTATAAGCACCTTTCTGCTGAGGCATACTCAAATTGAGACTGAAATTAATGTTTACGGAATGAAGACTCAGAGGAAGAGCTACTCTACACTCTGGAACTGGATCTACTTACTACAGCTGGTTTTGTTACACCCACTGAAGGGTCAGTTTGACTAGGCTATCACTGTGAAAAAGACGCTCACCACTTACCTGCCTTATAAAGAAGTCTCCATGAATTAAAGAAACAATTCCAAAGTTTGTATACTTAAAAATATGATCCATCAACCACATCATTTGAGCGACAACCTATAATATTTAAAAGCAAGAGATAAGTAAAGTCACCTGACTACAGTCTAGCCAAGTCTCTCGAGTTTTAAATATAATCATCCAAGTATATTTTAACTAACCTCAATATTTTAAATCTAATGCTCTTTCTACATTTACAGTACGGTTACTAATAGCGTACAGGTCTTAATTTCCAGTGTTGGAATCCTAAGTCATATATATATAGATATCTATATACACACACACACACACACACATATGTTTATGTATATATGTAAAGATATAGATATGTTTATGTATATATGTAAAGATACAGATAGGTATATGTATATATGTAAAGATATAGATATGTATATGTATATATATAAAGATACAGATATGTGATATGTCTGTATATACACACATATACGGTATAAATATACACATATAGGACCAGGGATTTAGCTCAGCAGCACAGCACCTGCCTGGCAAGCGCAAGATCCTGAGTTCAATCCCCAGTGCCAAAAAACAAATAAACAAACATATCAGATATATCGTTGTATAATAAATGAAGCTGAATTAATGTCTTAAATTTGGAATTAATGATTTCAAATCTGTTCTACCTTAAACATGTTCTCTGTCAATTAATTATTTTGAATCAGTGCTATAAAATGGTTAAGGACCAGGGATTCAGCTCAGTGGTTCTTCCACCTGCCTCGCAAGCGCAAGGTCCTGAGTTCGATCCCTGATACCAAAAAAAGTTAATAAAATGGTTAAAGTTAACAAATTAGGACAATGCATGTAATTATAAGCATTAAAACTTTATAAAATGTGAGCATATATTAATGTCTAAAATAAATGGGCCAGGGATTTAGCTCAGTGGTTCTACCATCTGCCTCGCCAAGCGCAAGGTCCCGATTTCAATCCCTGGTACCAAAAAAATAAAATAATAAAATAAAATAAAAAGTTAATGTCCAAAAGAAGAACATTTTAAAAACAATTTAATACAGTGACTTATGTATTCTATTGTTATGAAAAACACTCACTAGGGTCATCAAGGTCATACTCTCTGCCAGCATAAAAATATTTCTAACCCAGTTGTTAATCATTAAAATATTATCCTTTGCTGACAAGAGTTAATTCCCATACTGAGAGCTGAAGACTTCATTTCCAGCAAATTTAAAAGTGAAAAGTAAGCATAAACAGGATCTAATTAAGGATCTGGTTAACTGTTCTTTTCCTGCTGAGGAAACAGCATCCCTTGTTAGAAGCCTTAACTAAAGCAAAAGCTACAACCTCAGTGAGAATGCAGTGAGCTCTGCTTTGGTTTCCTGTGAGAATCATAACGTAAACACTCCCTGCAAGAACCAAATTGTGTCAAAAACAGCACTGACACTCACGGGCTGCTTTTACTAAAGCACTGTAAACGCCCATCTGTACATAATACTGCAGCTTCTGCCTCAAGTTTTCAGTGAAGCAACTTCATCAGGTATTAAATCACTTTTTAAAATTAAAAAACTATGAAGAAAGATCCATGCCCAGTGAAGAACTGAGTCACCACATCAGTTAGTACAGAGTAGTTAGCTGCATGCCCCTTCCTTTTTGTTTTGTAATGATGACAACTTTGTTTAAATTAATCAAGATGTGAGCGGGCCAGGGATTTAGCTCAGTGGTTCCGGCGCCTGCCTCGCAAGTGCAAGGTCCCGAGTTCGATCCCCGGTAGAAAAAAAAAAAAAAAAGACGTGAGCAAAGAGAATTTGCTGAAAAGTGACCAATAAACAAAAAACCAGATTCAAGCCATAAAACATTTCAACTTTATATACAGTATGAAGTGTAACTGCAATTTATTGGTCTCGGGGTTTCAAATACCAACACCAAATCAATGCCTTTTATGTCTGATCTTCTATGTATAGCATATTTACCTCTTCACTTACAAGGGTCACCTACAACAAATAATAAATTCAGGAAGACAGCCAAGCTATATTCTGAGAGTTGTACGAATAATTCTGTCCTAACTTATTTTACGGGAAATGTTTTAAGTCAGTAAGTGTTAAACATTTAATAAAATTCTCTTGAAATAAACATTCTTAGTTTTATCACGAGCTGTCAAAAAAGGACAAAACTCCTTACTTCACAGATACTTATTAAAAAAGATATCAGCACCGTTAGAAAACATCAATTTATCCTATGTTTCATATTCCTGAAAAAAAGGATCAACTCAATCAAGTTCAGTGAATCAACTGAATCCATTCAAGGACACTGTATGCCCTCAGAATAATCACTATAAATGCAAATATCACATCAACCAGAATAAAAATGTTAGCTAATTGGTGACTCCTTTTTACAAGAAGTCAAAGTAGTTTTTACAAAAGGTTGACATCATGAACTTAAGGACCAAGCAGTGTTATCATAAATGGAATACATTTTACACAGCAGTATTTTTCTAACAGTTTGAGATTCTGAATATCAAGGTTTAAATTTATTTCACATTCTGGAAAGATTACATTTCTGCTTTTCAGATAAATAAGAAAAACAGATTCTACAATAACTAAATGTATTTTTATTTATTTACTTACCCTTGTGGTGCTGGGGAAGGAATCTATGGCCTTCCACATACGAGGCAAAGCCTCTAGCTCTGAGTCACATTCCGAGTCCCCACCGTTCCCTTTAATCTCACTTCATTTTCTGACGCTACCCTGACCTAGTAAGTCAAAGCCTCTAGGACCTAATAAATAAAATAGGCGTACTGGCACCTCTGTGTTTTTGCCAAGGGAGTTTCACTAAGAAAGAAGGCCCCTCCTCCACCTTCCACCTCACTAAACTCTCCTCGTCCTTTATGTTTAGGGCCAAGTTTATGTTCTTCCCCTCTGCAGTTTCCTGTGTCTGTCAGGTATGTCGAAAGCGTGTGGCACCCTCCCGTAAAGCCCTCCCTCCTGTAGGAAAGCTCTGCTTGTGGCCCCCTCCCTCCACTGGCCCTGGCCTGCCAGATCTGTGAGAAGGGGGGTGTCCACACTTCCTGCAGTCATTGACTCCAGCGATAAACACTCATCCAACTGACTTGTTTACTTACTACTGGGACAAATATGACCCTCCACTACTTTTAAACACTATTCATTTAGTTTTTTATGAAGAAACCTCATTAACTTCTAAGGTAGCAACTTTTTAATGATAAAGATCATATTTTTTTGTTTTTTAAATTTCAGTATGTCCTGCAATTAATTGGATTATTGTTCAGAAGTCTCTTTTCATACAAAAGCACTGTGTGCCCATGACACAGTTGAGAAAGCTCGATGACCTGTCCCGCAGGAGAGACTCAGCACTCCCAGGGCTGACACAAGAGCTGGCCTTGTGCCTGCCACTCGGGCTCTCCAGGGCCAGCTTGCCTGCCACCCGCGACGGGCATCAAAGACCAAATTTATTTTTTAAATCTACCTTATGTAGTGATATATTTTAATTTTTGATATAAATAATGTAAAGTCAACAGTTCAGACATAGTTTTGGTAACACTGGATAAAACAAGCCTAGTATCTTTTCTTTCAATTGACTTATGAACAAAATCCAAATTAACTCGGACCTTGCTTTCTTTTGGCCAAAGATTTGCCAAACTGCCCAATTCACTGATTAATTTCACTCTCCTATCTTCAACAATAGTTTTGTTTGTGTATTTATACTTCTCAAACAGGCAACCTACCACTTCACCTCGCAAGAGCCTTTAATTTGAACTATATTAACTTTGCTTTCATCCCAGTTGTGATTTTTAAAAACAGTTTAATCAGATATAATTCACACTGTGCCAGCTACTTATTTTTTTAAGTCTCTAAATCCCCCTCCTGGAGGGCCTTAGAATTATACATTTTTTGTTTCACATTTTCTAACTTCGGGAGAGGTGTACACATGGAGTCTCAGCCCAGCCTCCCCGCTGTCGCTGTCCAGGGGCCGGCAGTGGGCTCACCAGTCCTTTGTCCTGCAGGCACATCATCAGCGTGCACACGTCTCCTGTGGACTGATGGTTCACCAACACCACGGCTTCATCTCTCCAGATTGCTTTAACATCTTCCCCCCATTCCATCACTGTAAGAGTAAAAAGTTTCAAAGTATCATTTTAAAGATTTTTACAGCACCAGAAAATTTCTATTAGGAAAAAATGAATACATTACTGTCTGTCACCCAGCTAAAACTTCCGAAGGTTCAGAACTTGGACTATTTCCTATAAAAACCAGAATGTTGATATATTTTATAGAGTTTCAAATGACTGTTAAAATATAAAATGTTCATACCGTTGATCTACAGGTTCCACTTCCTAGAATTTATCCTACAGAATCCAAATAGGATTGGCCAAATAGGCAGATATAAGAATAAAGAATATTTATTACAATTTAAATGTTTACCAACAAGAAAAACAGACAAGAAAATTGTAGTAGAAGAGAATAAATCCATTAAAAGAATGACATTAATTCCCATAAAACCTTACTAGCCACTCTAATATATATTTTGGGGGCAATCGCTTCTCGGCCTTTTGGCTAAGATCAAGTGTATTTTGGGGGTTTTGTCTAAGGGTCCTGGCTCATAACTTCCTCACCGTAGTGGGCCATAGAAACTAGAATTATCTTCCCTCTAATCTTCCCAGCCTTTTTCTGACCTATTGTGTCTGACAGTAGAGGGTAAGATTCCCATTTCTGAAGGGGTTCTGACTCATCCAGGAGGGAGAAATGCTGAACAGGGAGGCCTCGCTGGGTTTCCCCACCCACCTACCAGCATCAGATACACAGTGAAGTCCCCACAACAACCTGGGGTTCTGGGAGCTGGACATGAGGTTTCTGGAGGGCAGCCTCTGAGAAGCCATGCAGGCTCCGAGCCCTTGCCTTATACCTTGCCCCATGCGTCTATTTGCCTGAATTCTTTGTGCCATTCTTGTAAGAGTGAAATATTTCCCTGGGTTCTGCGAGCTGCTCTAGCACATTAAGAGAACCCAAGGTGTGAGTGTGGGGCCGGCTGTACAGTCAGCTGGCCAGAAGCACAGGTGAAATAACTCGAGCCTGATGTCTAAGCCCTCCGCCTGAGGGATCAGATGGAATCTCCAAGTTGATGGTGTCAGAGTTGGATTAGAGGGCAGCTGGCTGGCATCCGCTGCACAAGTGACTGCTTGTGTGGTTTGGGGGGGGGGGTGGCCCTATGTCTAGTGTCAGAAATGATCTGTGCATTTCCTCTCAGGATTAGTGTGAAGAGTAATCCTGATTGTCGTCCTGACATTCATATATAGGGAAGTGATTAGTTCTATCGCTCTGTTTTCCTCAGCACTGAAATGACTTAATAGAACCCTTGTGACCTGCTTCAAATTTTTTCCTCTCAAGAAAAGGTTTATGGTGGCAAATGACATTTATTTTATTTTTTTAAAAAGAAAAAAGTGATTTTGAGCACAGTAGGGAAAACGAGTTTTGTTTTTCTTTGGATCAAAAAAAAGAAAGGAAACTCACAAAACTGTATTTAATATGGCTAATCTTGTTAAAGAACAAGTAAAATTTATGTGCTACTGTTTGGGTTTGAATCTCAAAAGAGCTCCTAAAGGCCCATGCAATAAGGCATGGTCTCCAGCCTATGGTGCTCATGGGACATGGTGGAACCTTTAAGAGGCAGGGCCTTGTGGAAGGAGAGCAGGTCACGGGGGCTGCCCCTCAGGGATTATTAGGACCCCTATCACTTCCTCTCTCTCCTTCCCAGCTGCCAAGAGGTGAGTAGTTTTACTCCACCAACTGTTCCCACCACAGACACAAAGCCACAGAGCCAAGTGATCATGGACTGAAAGCTCTAAAAGTATGAGCCAAAATAAGCCTCTCCTCCTTACAAGTTGTTTATCTGAGGTATTTTGCCACAGTAACCGAAATCTGATTAAGCCAGTTACCCAATGTATTGAAAAGTCTCGGAGAAGTAGCGCAAAACTATTATTATTGATCATCATTGGGAAGAACAGATGAATTACAATATATCTGCTTAATGGGCTACTACGAAACAACAGCATTTATGTACTATCAGTAATAAAAACAAAGTCTAAAGCAGTGTGAAGGATACTACCAGCTGCGTTTTTAAAAAGAAGGGAGAATATATTTACTATATAAAGACTCTCCATATCATGGTCTTGTTGACAACCTGTTACAGCCTATATCTAAATGTCCTCCCAAAGCCTCACGTAGTCATAAGTGGGGCTTTTCGTAGGTGGCTGGATCTACAGTGTGTGATGCTGAGATCAAGGCTGTGTGATTACTAAATTAGTCCACTGACTGGTTTGCCATAGTTCTGGGTAGGATTAAGGATGCCCACCCTGGGTGTGAGTGCTACCCACCCTCAGGGTGGGTAGGCTGGATGGGATATAAGGAACCAAAAGAGGGTCTCTGCTTGTTGTTTGCCACTTGTCCCTTGCTGCTGCTGCTGTTTGCCTTTTGTTTTCTGCCTGCCATGGACTGTTTCTCCTCTGCGATGCCACCCTGCCTTGGAGCCAGCCGATTATAGACTGAAACCTCTACAAACTGTGAGTCAAAATAAATTTTTCCTCCGTTAACTTTGGGTATTGGGTAAACACAACTTTTCAATCGAGACAGAAAAACACGCACACCATTCTTCCATTCATTGGTTTTTCTTTCTGTAACTGGGATTGAACCCAGGGCCTTTGTATTGAGCTACACCCTAGACTATTTTTTATTTTTTTTAAGACAGAGTCTTGCTAAGTCACTAAGTTGCCAGGCTGGCTGAGCTCAAACTTGCAAACCTCCTGCATCAGCTTCCAGAGTGCGGGGGCCAAACTGTCTTTTAATACAGCCTCTGCTAAATGAATGAGAACAGAACAGAGCTAGGCCTGTGCGGTGGAAAACATGTATGTGTTAACTGCAAATAAAAATAATTTAACACAAAATGTATCTTATTTGTTTTATATAATGTAGATAAATCTAACAAGTGTGAATGGTTTAAATATAAAAATATAAATGAGGGGCCGGAGATTTAGCTCAGTGGCACTGCACCTGCCTTGCAAGCGCAAGGTCCTGAGTTCGATCTCCAGTACCAAAAAAAAAAAAGAAAAGAAAAAGAAAAATATAAATGAATTTGGATCTCTCTTTACTGGGTTGACTAGCATATCTCCTCCAATCCACATGCACCTAGAATCTACCAATCAGGTTAAGGTGAGGTCATGTGGCCCTGACTCTAAATACAACTGGACTGGCATCCTTTCGTTTCTGTTTTTCGTGAGACAGGGTCTCCCCTACCCCTGGCTGGCCTCATACTAGTGATCCTCCTGCCTCAGCCTCCCAAGGGCTGCGATTACAGGCATGTGCCACCACACCCAGCTGACTGGCACACTTTTGAGAGAGAGATCTGGACACACATGCACGGAGGAAGATGGCAGTGATGACAGAGGCAGACAGTGGAGTGGCTCACGGATAAGCCAAGGACCAAGCACCCAGTGGCAGCTGGGGAGAGACAAGGGTGTGCCCTGCAAAGAGCACAGCCCTGCTAATGACCTGATTTCTGACTTCCGACCTGCAGAACTGTGAAGAATAAGGACCTGTTGTTTAAGCCACCCAGTTCATAGGTACTGTTATGGTACTCTTAAGAAATCAATATGATTCCCCACGCTCAACTTCCCATCCTCTCCCCTTTTCATGCTATTTGCCTCCAATTATACTTTTTTTTTATCAAGTACAGGTAAAGAACTGCATTATACTTTTCATATATAGAAAATGTTAATATATAACATTAAATATTATGTAAGGTTCTCAATGTTTGTTTGTAAATACTTTCACAGTACAGTAATACAATCATTAAGAGTTGGTCCAACACATGTTTTCTCTCAACCAGAACTTACCCAAGACTAAATTTCAGATTAAATTTCAATTTAACAAGACTCATATACCATAAATATCAAAGTGAAGGTCAATTTTTAAATCAAGAAATTATACTGATACAGCAATAAAGTCATGTTGAATTTGGTAATAATCCAAATGTTATTCAACAGAAAATTAATTTCTAATATATGTGGCATTCTTCTCTTAGAATATACTTTAACAATCACTGTTGAAAAGTTGAATCACTAACAACAATAAGAGAAAAGTGGGCCTGGGGATTTAGCTCAGTGGTTCCGCCGCCTGCCTTGCAAGTGGGAAGTCCCGAGTTCGATCCCCGGTACCAAAAAAAAAAAAAAAAGAGAAAAGTTGTAGAGGAAGAATAATTTATTTTATGATAACATCCTTATATCCCAGGTCCACTAAATATAATAATAAAGGTAAATCTTAACCAAGGGACAGGATTATTCTCACATTAAAGAACAGAAGCTATGGATGCTTGCCAGTTCGTAAACTTGACTTGATTAGAAGAACAAAAATATTCTAACAAACTGTTCTTTGAGATGAATTCCCAAAAAAGAACTGGGTCAGGTTCACTATTTTCAAAGGGAATGGAAGGACTCCTGAATCAAAACTTAGTCTTCTAGTTGTAATGAATTTAAAATTCTTATCAAAGAACAAAGGTAAAGATTATCACCTACTACACACACACACACACACACACACACACACACACACACACAGACACACACACTCTAACATATGTATCCAAAAGCTACAGATTAGAAATGAGCACATTCCAGAAAGAAAACAGAAACGATATCCCATGAAAACGTCCTTAAAAACTGAGCTGCTAAAACCATTATGTTGACCTATAAAATAGAATGTAAAGAAAGTTTGCTTCATATAAACCCATAATTTTCTTTTCAAAGGCTCTAAAAAAATTATGCCTGCCAACTACTTCATCATTTTGTGCCTTAGTTTTCTCATTTATAAAACATTACTGATGAGGGGGAAATGGAATAAAATAAAATTTTTAAAAATTAAAAAATAAAACATTATTAACATCATTAATACCACTCAAACATTGTGAAAGTGAATGAGGTACAACTGATAGTACCCTAGAGATCCTTCATAATTGAATTACAAGATGGCAAAGTTCCTTTTGGAACTCTTATTGACTGAAAGAGCCATATGCCTTCTGTGTCATGCAGGGTCAGCCTTCTAATGTGAATAGTGAAG